CTGTGAGAATGAATGAGAACAATGAATTAAGTCACTGAAAAGCACATAGTGTTGCAGAAAATATTATGCATGATTGCTAGTAGTACTCTAACAAGGCTCACTATGGTTTTTTATTTCACCCATTTCCTAGCATGAGAACTCCAAGCATTGTTTCTTCTGTCACCATCACCTTGTCTCCTCTTCCTCTCTCCTGAGAGAAGGGAGAGAGGATTTAGCATGACTCTAAATGGAGGAAGGGTGGGGGGAGAAATGAGAAGAAAACCATCCAGCTCTTTGCTTCAATTACCACAAACCTTTTAAAGTCCCTTAACTATAATGTTTCTCATATTTTAAAGAATTTAGTTCTCATTGGCAAAAAAAAACTTTAACCCTAAAATTGTGACTTTTAAAATGTTCCTGACCATAACCCATAGTAAAAAATACATGTTATGCCATAATTCCAGTACACAGACACACACACACACACATACACACAAACCCCGTTCATTATAAAACATTACTTAATACCTACATGCAATGCACTCAAACAGTTTCTCTTCTATTTTATGTCATTTAAAAAAGTGTCAGTTACAATCTCCTAATTGATTCCATTATTTGCTACTGGGTCACAACCTGCAATTTGAAAAACACCACCCTAAGAGACAGGAAGGTTTATGGAAGACTTCAAAAGTATGGTTCACAAATCCCTTCAACCTTTCTTTTCTTTTGCATTTCAAGACATTGCAAAATAGAAACAAGTCCAGCCTATTTTCTGGGGAACAAAACACCCCTATGTGCACTCTTCACACGGTGTGTTGCCTGACAATAATTGAAAGGTTTCCATGTACGGTTTCTTGTGTGTTTGGTTGCTGCAGGTGATAAGGCATTTTGACAAGCAGAATTTCAAAAGACAGGACTCTCTTAGGCAGGGCCTTGGTGCCCCATGGAAACTAAGCTCATATGTCTCCAGTGTCTTTTCAATGAGAACATTCAATAAGCAACTTCTTTCCCGTAAAGGGCCCAATCACACATCCTAACCCAGAAGTGAGCAAGCATTCTGCCTCAGGGCTGCTGAAATGGGAACACAATGATTAGATGCCTTTCCAATCATGCACATATTTAACATTCACACCACCATCATCACTACTACCATCTCCCTCAACAAGGAAAGAATCTGCTCCCCACCCAGCTCTGTCCGTATAATGTTGTGTCCAACCAAAATCCTAAAGCTGGAAAGAGACACCAAGGTCATCTGGTCTACCTCTCTCCTTCCAAAAAGTATGGCCAACTAAACTTTTCCAGCTCACAGTTGAACTATTTCCCCTTGTACCACAACGTGCAGCTGTGCTCCACAAGGCTTTCCTTGTGGAACAGCAAAAGGTCTAGAGGTTCCTACCATCACACTTTTAATTATACTGTTTCTCCTTCTTAGGATGTTTTTCCCTCCTGCCCATACAAATCCCACCCATTCATTCAGATCACATCCCTAGCTCTCTAAGAAGCCTTCCCCAAACCCTACAGACATGTCCATCCCTCCTTCCTTTTCTGAAATGAGATTCAGCTCACAGAATTCATGCAATCTTTTGCCTTTTAGATGTTAATATATATTTTATTGACTTTCTACTAAAAGATGTTAAAAGAAACTTTAATCTTAAATTATCCTTTCTTAAAACATATATAACAAAGAGTAAATAGAAAGGTTTAGCATTTTTATTATGAAGATATTTAAATCAGGTAATCATTATAGAAATAAACTTTAAGCTATTAATTTCCATATACTCAGAACCAGTGACAACAATCATGGTAGATGCCAGCACTGCTGATTTTTCTGATACACTATCACACGAGAGACACTTGTCTCAGGCAACTGAATTCTTACACGTATAAGACAGAGCAACTGAGAGGTTTCCTCCCTTAGCAGATACTGTGGTAGATGTTCTCATGGACAAAGACTCTGTGCTTTGATACACAGTCAATTCAACGAACCCTGTGTTGGCCTTGGTTACTTTTTGTTATAATGGGATCACTGAATTTTATAACTTTGAAAGAACTTAAAGATTACCTATTCTACCTTAGGTGAGGAAATGTAATCCTGCTCCCCGCCTCAAAAAAAATGGTGAGCTACTGTGCTTCAGAACAACCTTGTGGAAAATGACAAAGTTAGTGCTAAAACCAAAATCTTTTTTATTTAAAGAAATCAGAAGCTGGAGGTCTGAAAACCTCATACCACCTGGCTCTTCAGTTTCATTTCCCCTGTCACCAAACTTCCCGTCTTCCACCAGATCCCTGTCTCACCACTGAGGAACTTACTCAAGTCCCCAACACCACACTGTCTTCCTGTCATTAACCAATTCCCGATATCGTTCCATCTTGATGCCACAACTTCTCTTGTTTTACTTGGCAATCCTACTGTTTATGCCAGCATTTCCCTTATCTAATACCACAGTTACCCAAACCACACAGTTGCTTTATTTTAAACCCTTCTGTATGGTCCAGACAAAGTTACATACAAAACTGAAGCTAGTGACTGTGACTGTCTCACAAAGAGTCCTGTTCTCTCCACCTGGGATCCCAGAAATCTTTCCTAGCTCATGCTGCATATGAACATAACACACTGGAGAAAGAAAGTTTTCTCCTTAATCAGGCAGGTACTCTCTCAAGACACATAGCCAAGAAACAATCACGCTTGCAAGTTAAGCAGGGAGAGTAGCAGAGTTCATTTAAACTACCAATAAACAACAAACTTTACTCTCTACCAAAAATATCCTCTCTAGCTCAAGGGTAGAAACATTGATTAATTGACCCCTCCTTTTCTTATTCTTGTCTATGTTCTTGTCAAGGTTCTCAAATAAGAATGAGGTGGCAAAGCAGAAAACAGGACAAAGACGAGACCAGTAAAAAGTCCGCTCAAATCAAAACGAGCTGGAGTGTGGTGATGAACATATGGACTCTGAAGGCCGACTGGCCAGTCTTGGTTCCAGCAGTAATAGCTGCATGACTCTGGGCACACTGCTTGAATGCTCTGCACGGTTTCTGCATCTGGTAAATGGGGTAATAGTAGTACCTACCTCACAGGGTTGCCATGAGTATTAAATAAGTTAATATGTGTAAAATACTTAGGACAATGTTTGACCCATATTAAACACTACATAAATATCTGTTAACTAAAATAAATCCTGAGTTGGAAATTATTTTAACATCATGTTGTGTGTCTGCTGGTCTCCAAGTTTTACCAGCAGTTTCAGGATTTAGAGACAGTCTGATGGTTCCCATACCACACCACATACACCCTTCACCCCTGGATGTGAATTGTTCTCCAAGAATTCATTTTATAATCCCTTTGCATTGGGACGTGACAGGAATCTACTCCTGGATCTCTCACTAACAGTCCCCATCACTGCAGCCACCACACACGGAAGACAAGGCCTGTAAAACCACAAAAGTTTGTGTCTGCCCACACATCACAAATTCTCCCTGTAACTGGGGACTAGAGCTGGGGGACAACAGGCCACTTACCACCGAGAAAACAAAATGAAGGGAAAATTCTTCGCGCCAAATGTTTTTTCTTGGCACAGGGCCCACAGGGCAAAGCAAACCTCTGCGGCTGTCCTGGAGCCTCTCCTCCCTCTCTTTCTTCACTTTACTTGAATCGAGCTCTTGGGTACATTAAATTTAGCCTGTCCTCACGGTCACTAAAACACCACCACTCTTCTTAATCCCAAAGGCTCACGCGACTCCTTCTCTGAGGAGAATTACTACCGCTGATCCTCCTTTCCCTTTGGGGCTTCCCTCCCTTGCCTTCTAGGACGCCATATTCTCCTGGGTTTTCTGACCACTCCTCTGGACTCCTTTGCTGGTTGTCCCTGCTTTCCCCTCCTCCTCACACTGTAGAGTCCTGAGGCTCATTCTTTGGTCCTCTACTCTTCTATGATGAGCTCATCCTGTCTTGTGGTTCAATATACCATTTCTTTCTTCAATGACTCTCAAATATCTATCTCCAGCCCACACCTAACCTTGAACTCCTGATTCATACACCCAACTGCCTACTCAGGGACTCCACTGAGATGCCTAATAGGATCCTAACCTCAGCCTGTTCCAAACCAAACTCCTGGCCTTCCCTGCAAATCTCCCCCTCCTCTGTCTCCCCCATCTCAGTAAATAATACTTCCCACTTCCCCCACCCCTTCTCACCTTCCTTCATACGTTACCAACCAGCAAATTCTGTCAACTATACCTTCAGAAACATCCAGAATCTGACCTTACCACATCACCTCCAAGCTGCCCTCTAGTCCCCATCACTATTGTCCCTTGTAAGAAAGTCTCTCATTTTTGCCCTTGCCCCACTATGGTATTTCCTCAAAACAGCAGCCAGAGAGGTGCCATTAACGTGTAAGTCAAACTGTTGTCACTTCTTTGTTCAAAACCTTTCAAGGGCTTCTCATCTCACTCAGAAAAGCCAGAGTCCTTATGGTAAGTTCACAGTCCTACACAACTGGAGTTGCCCCATCCTGCCCCCCAACATCTCTGACCTCATCTCCTCCCACTCGCCCCTTACTCCACTCCAGCCACAATGGCCTCCTTCTGTCCAGGGACCCTGTGCTTATTGCATCTCCTGCCTGGGACGCCCTTCCCCAGACACCCACATGCTTGGGTCCCTCATGACCTTCACATCCCTGCTCAAAAGTCATCCTCTAGATGAAGCCGCCTCTCACAACACTTCTTAAAATTGCAAACTATACCTGCTTAGCACTCCTCATCTTCCATCCCTGCTTTATTTTTCCCAATGAGATTCCTCAACCTCTTATTTTATAAATTTTATAATACAATTATTTTGTTTATCCCTATTAGAGTGCTCATTTTGTCTTCCCCTACCAGAGCGGAACCTTGAGGCAGGTGGGGGTTTATGTCTGTTCTTGTTCACTGCTGCATGCCTACTACCTAGTAAGTGCCTTGCATGCAGCAGGTGCTCAATAAATATTTGCTGAATGAGTGGTAATAACAGCTCACTTGGTTCCTCTTACCTAAGACAGTCATCACTGTCTTCATCAGCTTCATGGGCGTCCTCCGACGGCTGATGGACCCACTGGTATGTGGAGACAAGACGTTGGTTTTCCTCTTGACATACATGTAGATCCGCAGGTACACCACAACCATGATGAAGAAAGCCACAAGGTTGGACACAGTCCAGAAAATGAGGTAACTCCTGCTGTAAACGGGGGCCAGGGAAGAGCACGCAGAGATGTCACACAGGCAATTCCAGCCCAGTGTGGGGACTGCCCCCATAAAGATGGCAATGGCCCAGACAAATAAAATGAGCAATATCACCCTCTTTTTGGTCAGGTTGCTGTGGACCCGCATCCTCATGATTGACATGTGCCTCTCCACAGCAATAACCAGCAAATTGGTCAGGGAGGCTGTCAAGCTGGTGTCCAGAAGCCCCTGGCGGAGGAACCAGCGGTGGACAGTCAGAGTTTTTGAAACAGGGCCAGTGTTGAACATGAGGAATACATAGGCAATTCCGGCGAAGAAATCCGCAGCAGCGAGGTTGGCCAACAGGTAGTAGAAGGGGAAATGAAACTTTCTATTTTTAATCACCGCTGCGATGACCAGAGAATTAGAAAAAAAAATAAACAGACAGAAAAATGTTCCAACACATAAAACAATCACAAGCTTCGTTCCTGTCCAGTCATCAGCGGTGTCAATGTTGCTCTTATTATAAAAGAAGTCCATCTGCTTGTCATAGTGACACTCATTCATTGTGGAGAAGCACTGAACATCCTGGAAAGAAATTCAAAGAAGAAACAAATATCATTCTTTGCAAAATCAATCAATAAATTAATCAATAAACATCCCTACTGCCACGGCTAAGCCCCTTGTCTGGTCAGTTCCTTCCTCTCAGGCCTTCAAGTCTCAGTACGTGTCCCTTGCTCCAAGACGCCAGCCCCTGACCTCCTCTCCCAGCACCTACCTCACACTGGTAATTGTGTCTGTTCCCCAGGCTAGGTGCAAGCTCAGTGTCACCATTATAATCCCAGGACCCATTTGCCCTGACTGCCTCACAAGCCAGCTGAATGCTGGCTGACTGGCTGGCTGAATCAATCAATGAATAAGTGATCATGGAGGCAGCGATATGTCAAATATTCTAGGCTCTGCAATATCCAGTCTGCACTGGTAATGGTTACAGCACAGAATATCAATGCTTTCGCCTGGTGGTTTCCAGCTCATCTCTTATTTATCAGTTCTGTTCATTAATCAAAGGCAGGTTGGTAATGCCAGGCACATTCTTGCCATGATAACGGGTGTTGAATTACTTTTCACATGACCAAATGGTTTTACTAAGAGATCAGTTTCCCACCATTCTGATTCCACCCCTGATCCTCCTCTTGCCGTCTTTCGGTTTCAAGCTACAGTGACAACGCTCACTTGTTAAGCATGTGGTGCAGGGCTGGAGGCTACTCTCAATACTCTTCCCTTATCTTTTTAAAAATTTCTTTCTTATTCTCTTAATCCAAATTATACCAGTATGAATTTGTTTACTGGATTGGACTTTCCAACTCAATCTCTTTGAGTCAGTTTCCTTCCCTGGGCTCTCCTCCACACAGCAGGTGGTGGAAGGGCAGGCCTCCACCGGCAGGACTGAGATCTGGAGTTTGGGCAGACGTCCAAGGCTATGAGAACATACCTGCCCAGTGAGACATGACAAGTTCTCTTGGACCCCAAAAGTGAGGGATTCTGGCCAAAGAGGGGTTGGGCAGAGGCTCTGAGATTGCCTATCCACCTATGCTTGGTGGGAGGACCAGGAGTTCTGCCTCGCAAGGGTCCGCGTACAGCCATGAAAGGTCCTATCAAAGGAGATGGATTGAATGCCAGGAAATCCAGCTTCTGGAGGGCATAACCATGGGCTCCATCACACGGAATGAGGCTGCAATTTATCTCCTGGAGATTCAGGAGGCTCAAACACTGAGCAGTTCACTGCTAGGAGTGAAGTGACTCTAACAGCAAAAGCTTAATAGAAATCCCTAGGCTTTAAGGTTCTTATAAATTCTGTAATCCAATACCACATGCAGAATCAGGATAATTGATATAGGTTATCAATTTGAAGTAGCACAAATCAGAAATACATCTTAGGCAGTCTTCTTTTTCATTTACATTTTAATGATAAGAAGACACTGGTAAATAAAGTAGACACATGTCTCTCCGCCATAGCAAATTGAAGGTAAGAATATCGCTTTATATGCTTAAATAATAAACTGAGTGTGGTCTCAAGAGACAAATAGTTTCAGTGCCTTTCAATTACAAGGAAGGGGGACCCAATTTTAATAGTGACAAAACAAAAATTACTCTCTTTCACAGACATTCACCAGTATTTAGTTGCCAATATCAGATAATTCCATACAACAGGCCAATGTATCTACATTTTATTGTGATAATTTCCCAATGTAAAAGTATAGATATACTTGATAAGTTTCTTAATATTCCAGTACATGAATATACCACACTGTATTTAACCAACCCCTAAATGCTGGACACTTAGATTGTTTCCAATATTTTGCTTTTATAAATAAGGCTACATTCTTGTGCACTAATCTCTACATACTTGGCCAATTATTTCCTTAAGATTAATTCATAGATTTCAAGTTGATGAAATAAAGGAAGTAAATTTATTTAATAGTTTCTGATACATATTATCAAACTGTCCATGGGACAGATTATATTTCTAATCCTACTAAGCAGTATATAAGAGTTGAGCAGAAGATACTAATCAAGTAAAATTCAATTTAAATACCCAAGGAAAAAACACAGCTTTCAACAGTGTTGAAAGTATATATAAAATCAAGAGGAAAAAAATCAAAGAACCACATGAAAAATTTTAATGATGCAATTAACGTGTTCTTTCACTATTGAAAAATGTTTTATTTTGCTATATGCTCTAGATACCTAAGAGAAAAACATTTCTAACTTTAAATTATCCACGATTAATTTATGAGCAATATGAAGATTAGTATGTCAGAAAATGATGGAATTATAATACTACCCCAAAAACCTTTAAAATTTCCTAATTTCATTTTAAAGGAGTCTTAACATTTTAGTTTTGATTCATAAATTTGGTTGAATTTGTAATTATACAATGTCCTAAAAACCTCAATGATATTTACTTCAAAAATCTTCAAGTTCAGCTCTCCCCTATCAAAATTAAAATGGCACATTCTTATTTTATTTTTTTTATATTTTAGCAAAAATTGTCCTGAGACTGAGAAGTAGTTTTGTCTTAAAAAGTAGAGAAACCACGAATAGCCAAAACCTCTGCCAAGCAGTTTTCTACCTCTCAGCCTCGAATTTTACTTTTGGGCGAAAAAGACAGTAAGAGCCAAAAAAAAAAAGTGCATATAGGACATTGGTAAAAAATATTACGACAGGCTAGGATATTATGCAGCCATTTAAAATCACGCTTACCAAAAGTGGTATCGTGAAAAAAAGTATATGCCATTGTTTTAATTACAAATAACTGTATATGTATATATATGTATACATATATTTATATACATACATAGGCACACATAAGTATGTGCAGTGTCTTGACTATTTTTTAAAGATACAGAAAAAAGATAAGAAAGAAACCTCAAAGTATAATAGTAAGAATGAGGGAATTGTGGGTCATTTTAAAAAAGTTCTTTCCAGATTTTTCTGTTCCATATTTTCCATAATAAATAAATAGACTTTGAAATACTACTTTACAAATTCTGTTTTAGCAGCACACATTCTACTTAATGTATTCTACCTTTCTTTGACAACTACAGTCTGAAACATCAAAATTAATGTTCAAAGGAAAAGCCTCAAGGATTCAGTTATGCTCATCATTACTACATTTACTAGCAAAGCATACTTCAGAGTTTTTCAGTGATAATGAAAATAAAATAGTTTTCTACTTAAAGCTTCAGGTAACGATAAACCCTTATATGCTGACAACTAACCAAATCAGCACATCGTTTTCCCCAACTCCCCTATAAAACATTTCCCAATGCGATCACCCCAGAACTCCAAAAAGGAATAACTGAAAGTTTTGTGAATTAGTACTTTTGATTTTTTTTTCTCTCCTGCCATATGCTGCCAAGCTTGTTGACAGCCCCCAGTACATATTAACTACAGATCACCATATTTTCTTAGCTGGAAATTACCAAAAACTTTGATGAAATCCTAAAAAATGATCAGATTTATCATCTCTTGACCTCTCTCAAACCTTAAAATATGATTCTGTGATCCTAGCCTAAACATGCCCTTCACAGAGATACCTTCTCTGACCAATCCAAAGTAACACCCACACTTGAAGCTATAAAACTCCGAGAAGAAAACACAGACAGTAAACTCTGACAATTCTCTTAGCAATACCTTTTTGGATATGCCTCCTCGGGCAAGGTCAATAAAAGAAAAATCAAATAAATACAACTACATCAAACTAAAAGTTTTTGTACAGTGAAGGAAACCATTAACAAAACAAAAAGACAACCTGTAAAATAAGAGAAGAGAAGATATTTGCAAATGACATATATGTGTTAATGGGTTAATAACCAAAATATGTAAGGAATTCTTACAGCTTTACACCAAACAAACAAAGCAACAAACAAACAATTCAAATAAAAAATGGGCAGAGGAACTGAAGAGATATTTCTCCAAAGAGGACAAACAGATGGCCAACAGACCTATGAAAAGATGTCCAACATCACTAATCATTAGGGAAATTAAAACCATGATGATATAGCACCTCACATCTGTCAAAATGGCTATCATCAATAAATCAATAAATATCAAGTGCTGGTGAGGATGTGGATAAAAGGGAACCCTCATACAACGTTGGTGGAGTTATAAATTGGTACAGCCCCTGTGGAAAACAGTATGGAGATAACTAAAAAAATTAAAAAATAGAACTCTCATACAATCTAGCAATTCCACTTCTGGGCATTTATTCAAAGAAAACAAAAACACTAATTTGAAGTGATATATGCACCCCTATGTTCATTGCAACGTTGCTAATAATAGCCAAGATATGGAAGCAACCTAGATGTCCATCAATAGATAATGAATAAAGAAGTAGTATCTACAGGGTGGAGCAAAGGTAGGTTTACAGTTTTGAGTTTGCAAAACACAGTTTATTCTTGTATTGTTTATTGATTATCATATTATTTTCCATACAAGAACTGTATACCTACTTTTGCCCCACCCTATCTATACAGTGGAATATCATTCAGCAACAAAAAAGAATGAAATCTTACATCTGCGACAAAATGGATAGACCCAGAGGGTATAGTGCTAAATGAAGTCAGATAGAGAAAGACAAATACCGTATGATTTTACTTATATGTGGACTCTAAAAACATGAAACAAATGAATAAACAAAACAAAACAGAAACAAACCCATAGCTACAGAAAACAAGTTCATGGCGGCCAAAAGGGCAGGGGAAAAAAAGTAACCCCACAGCTCCCACTACCAAAGAGCCGTTATATCTTCACCAGTGCAACCATTATCTGTTACACATTTTCTTTGGTGTTTATGCATTTATAGCCCACCTCCATCCTAGACCAGTCTTGTTCCAGCCATGTGGGCACCATGCCTTTTATGCTTTGCTTCTGTCTATTTGTGGAATGAATGAATGAATCTGCCGCCTACACTATCTCTTCCCCTACTAAAATGAGAAGGTTCAATTAAATGCCTTTGCTGACTTACACATCACCTACTGATATGTGTAGGTGCCACATGTGTAGGTAAATATGCCAAT